ATTGACATGGACAGAGGTATTTGAGAAGCACCTGGCTGCATTGAATGAGTACAAATCCCCCAGACTAGATGGTATGCACTCAAGAGTGCTTAAAGAACATTCCAGAGAGCTTGCAGATGTGTCACAACACTGGAGGAGGGCAGATGTTATCCCAATTTTCAAAAAGAGGGAGGAGGGATGACCCAGGAAACTACAGGTCAGTCAGTTTGACCTCTGTCCCAGGGAAGATACTGGAGCATATTTTAAAGGGATTGATCTGCGAGCATCTAAAGGACAACTTGGTGATCTGGGAAAGTTAGCATGGATTTGTCCCCAACATGTCCTTCCAGGCCAACCTCATTTCCTTCTTAGTTGGGTGATGAGCTTACTGGATGGAGGGAAAGCTGTTGATGTTGTTTACCTGGATTCCAATAAAGCTTTTGACAGGGTTCCCCATGATGTTCTGATGGGTAAACTAAAGGACTGTGGGCTAGACTGTAGGACTGTTAGGTGGATAGGGAACTAGTTGGCGAACTGCACTCAGAGAGTAGTTGTCAATGGCATTTCATCTGAATGGAGGGAGTTGTCCAGTGGGGTGCCACAGGGCTGGACCTGGTAGTTTTCAATATTTTCATAAATGATCTTGATGAGGGTGTGGAGGGGCTACTCATTAAATTTGCAGATAGCATCAAATTGGGAGGAGCAGCAAACATATCAGGAGATGAATATAGAATTCAACAAGATCTGAACATGCTAGAAAAGTGGGCAGATATGAACAAGATGCAATTTAACAAGGATAAGTGCTGAATTCTACATCTGGGTTACAAAAATGATGAACATGCATACTGGATGGGGGATACACTTCTGGGTAGCAGTGTGTGTGAACAAGATCTTGGGGTATGGGTGGAATGTAAGTTAAATATGAGCAGCCAGTGTGATGTGGTGAGAAACAAGGTTAATGCAGTCTTGGGTTGTATCAACAGAGGCATAACATCCAAATTGCAAGATGTGATAGTCCTGCTGTACACTGCATTAGTCAGGCCACACCTGGAGTATTGTGTGCAGTTCTGGAGGTCTCATTAAAAAAAAAGTATGGGGTGGGTACAGAGGAGAGCAATAAGGATGATTGGGGGCCTGGAGACCAAGCCCTGTGAGGAAAGGCTGAGGGACTTGGGAATGTTTAGTCTGGAGAAGAGGAGGTTGAGGGGGGAGATGATTACTCTCTTTAAGTATTTGAAGGAGGGCAGGGAGTTGCTCCTGTTGGCAGCAGAAGATAGGACTCGCAATAATGGGTTCAAATTAAGGGTGGGAAGGTACCGGCTGGATATTAGAAAAAAAATTTTTTTTAGAGTAACAGTTGTTCAACAGTGGAATCAGCTGCCTAGGGAGGTGGTGAGCTCCCCCTCATTGGCAGTCTTTAAGCAGCAGCTGGACAAACATTTGTCAGGGATGCTCTGGGCTGATCCTGCATTGAACAGGGGGTTGGACTAGATGGCCTGTATGGCCCCTTCCAACTCTGTGATGCTGTGATTCTAAGTTCTAGCTCTTTTAGCGTTATGCACCACTAGGTGGCGAGCTAGACTTGTTTTTAAGTCAAGAGACATTTCAGAGGTGGTTTGTCATTGCCTGCCTCTGTGTCATGACACTGGTATTCCTTGGAGGTCACTCTTCCAAATACTAACCAAGGCTGACCCTGCTTAGCTTCTGAGATCTGATGCGATTGGACTAGCCTGGGCTATCCAGGTCAGGGCTTCAGTCCAGCTTCTTCTGACTTTCCCTTTGGAGGAACATGGGCCACATCATACACCCATTTGTCCTTTTTTTGGTATATTTATTTATAGTTTTTTTAAACATAATAGCATAGAAAAAAAAGTATACAGTATTTTGAATCTAGTTTTCAAACTTGTTATCTAACCATGCATACACTCTAGTCCATCTTTTGGAGTACAATTCTTCATCTTTTCCTTGTGATATGATATTTAACCTGTCCATTTCTGCAATTTCCAACAATCTTTGTATTAGTTCCTCTCTTGAAGGTGTTCTATCTGATTTCCAACATTTAGCAACTAATATTCTTGCAGATGTTAATATATAAGTTCTTATATACAGATCATTTTTTTACAACTATCAGGAAGCATATTTAAGAAAAAGACTTCTGGTGAGAAGGGTAAATAGATATTCATTATATCCATTATTATTTTGCGTATTTTATGCCAATAGTTCTGAATTATTCCACACCACCCATTTGTCCTTTTAACGTCTTATGTTATCTCTCTCTATTCAATTGCAGTTGTTTTTTAGTTTGTTTAGGAACCAAACCTGGCTGACAAATTAAGGTATAAATAATGTCAGAAGTTTAAGAGAGTATGTTGAAAGTTTAAATAAGAGTTTTGTGATAATCAGTGTAAGGAGTAATGAGGCATGAACACTGAAGTGTCAGTTGTATTGCGAGAATGAACCGTCTTGTAGATGCTGAATGAAACATCTTGTAGATGTTACCAAGCAAGTGACAAATTTTAGCAAAAGGAGGCATCACAGAAAACAGTGAGAATAACTAGTAAGTAGGTTGAAAGATACCATGGAGTCCTGTTGTGCTGTGGTTTGTCTTAGATGACTTTTAGTTTCATGTATAATAATAGGTTTCTGACTGGCTTTTCGGTAAATTAGTCACCCTTATTATTGCTGTTCCAGATTCTATTCTTTTACTCCTTTGATTGTGAGAATAAAAACAGCTTTAATGATGGCAAAGTACATCCATGCCATTCTAAGTAATCATAAAATTAATAACAGACAAAAAAGAATTCCTCAATTAAAATCTTATCCTTTCCTAGATATTAAAACTGCCCCCATGCATTATTAACCAGTGAAGCTCAGCTCACTTGGGTTTTTCTCTGCTTTGCTGTGATCTTTCGTACCTGGTATGATTTGTGTACCATATGGATGGAAAACTGCACATTTTTAAGTTTGTGCCCATACCAGCGCTATATTCCTTGTCTCAGCTCCTGTAGTAACCATTTCCCCCCACCACTGGAGATCTTCTTTTAAAAATTGTGCTAGGTTGTCATAATGTAATAAAGGTGTGGTGATCTTTAGCCATGATCTAATAGTTCTTTAAAATTCCATTTTTTAAAAAAGTCTCTTTTCCAAATGCTGCATTAATTCTGTGGAATTTGTCTGCATTAACTTTTCCCAACATCTTTCCTGAAATCTATGCATTCTCCATATGATCCAGAAAACACATTCAAAAATATTTTAGGCAAAATAACATCTTGCACACTCCACTCTACTCCACAGCCAACTTTGCTGCTGCACTCTGCCTCACCACCCCCTCCATCTCTGATTGGCTGTTGATGAGAATTCTTGGCGTGCTCTATCCACATAATCAGCTTTCAGCAACAAGACACTCACACTGCTTGTCTGCTGTGTTGCATCTTTGCGAATGGGAGAAGACTGAGGTGTTTTGACAGGTTCCTTCCTTGTACAGCTCTCTGCACTTCTCTAGGGTTGCCGGAATGATAGTAAGAAGAGTGTCTGACAGTTCTTACAGCAGATTGATGCTGTGTTTTGAGTTCCCCCCAGAAATGACATCACACCATTTTTTAAACATTAGTTTTCTCCCATTGGCCACAAGAGTGGTGGAAAGAAATGGGAGCCAAGGGGGAAGGAGTTCCCTTGCTCCTGGCAGAAAAGTGGGAGCCCAGTCTCTGTCTGATTGTAGCATTTTGTCCCAACCTTCCCTCCAAGGAGTTCAAGCCCATGCACATGGTTTCCCCCTCCTCCATTTTGTCCGCACAACAACCCTGTGAGTTAGGTTAGACTGACAGTATGTAACCAGCCCCAAAACACCCAGCAAGCTTCATGGCTGAGTGGAGTTTAGAATGTAGTTCTCCTAAAACCTAGTCTAACATTCTAACTGCAACACAACACTAACTCCTGTATACATGCTTCCTTCCTCTGGACCTGGCTGTCTTGGGGTGACACACCCACTCCTGTTGCCTGAGGAAATGCAGGTGCTGATTCAGAGAAATTCTGCATGCTGTACCTTTTTTTGTGAGATGGTTGTTTCCCCTTTCTGAGCCCCAAGAGGGGTTGGTTCTACACAGATGTTTTCCTTGTGCAGTGTTCTTTTATATCTCAAGTTTGTTTTTTGTTTTTTTCTAAATTCTGCTTTAAACAAAATATAGATGTATGGAGAGATTGCAGCAGAGGTAAACCTAGAAACAGTGAACTTTTTGAGGAACTGACTTCTTAGTGCACTGTGTGCCTGATATGTAGCCAAAGTTAAAAGTCGCTGTAGAACTTTGAAGTCCATCTGTGAAGTTCAAGGAAGCTGGCATACTCCAAAAATAAAAAAGGAGCTCCTATCCAATTTTTTTTTGGAAATGTGACCATCTAGATTAATGGTTTACTCTTTAAAATGAGAAATTTCTCAAACTCAAGGGATCTTTGGCAAATTTGGATTCCCCTCTTCTGCTTCATTCCT